TTAATTACATTCTCATTTCAAATTTTTCAATTTAAATTTTTAGAAACAAATATAACTGATTTTATGAGATGCGAATATACAAACATTTAAGGTATATTGAGTTACGAAAATAAGTATTTTTTGCGTAATTTGTTTAAAATTCTTATTATTTTAATTTATATTTGCTATAAAAAATATAATTTTCTTTATTGTTGATTGTCGATAAGTTATATTACATGATTTGCAAAATTTACTGCAGAGGCGCTTAAGGCATTCCTTACGTATTTCTACGCAATTTGATATTGTAAGAAATTGATACAAAATTGTGAGACTACTAAGTTTTTTATAATTATTAAAAATGGGTAACTCTGCAACAAAAATAGAAGCAAAGCCGGAAGAAAAAAAGAAACTAAAACCTTGTTGCGCCTGTCCTGAAACTAAGAAAGCGAGAGACGAATGGTGTGTAACATAATTTTTTAATCACGAATACGAAGTTGTGTTAGGTTAGAAATGTTGTTATATTTAATTTATTGAACGGAAATCTTAAATTTATATTTTAATACAGCTGTTATCAGTAGTTACGTATATTCCATTTTAAGATTATGTTTAAAATTAATCTAAGAAAATTAATATTTATTTTTTTTATGAAATACTATTTTATATATATATATATATTTTATATCATAAAGTTATGTTTTATATTTTCAGTATCATAGAAAAGGGTGAGGAAAATTGTGGCAACCTCATAGAAGCACATAAAACGTGTATGCGATCAATGGGATTTAATATATAAAACATAGAAGAATAATATCTTCATACCAAAGAGACATCTTTATCATAAAGGGCATATTCCACAAAGAATCTTGAGAAGTCTCAGGTTATAAGCATATTTACATAGATACATATTTATGTATTTATGTCTTTGTAAATAATTTTTTTTTAGACTTAATAAAAAATGAACTATTGTTTATGAAGTTCTAAAAAAGTAATACAAATAACTTATTTTAAATGAGCTTCAAGAAACATGAAATAGATTATTGTAATATAACTATGTAAGAAAAAGAAATAAAATTATACTCTTCTTTTTCTTCATTAAGATTTATCAGTCTAAGCTGGTCCTTTCTTTTTGCTATCATTGGCATAGGATGAAAGAATAAGGAGTGAAGTCATATTGGGAATTCTAACAAAGCATATATTTTAATTTGATGTGTGGCTAATGCGAAGGTTTTACTCTTGCATAACAATTCCACAGCTTGGTTTCTCTGAACACTCCAAATAATGAACAGATTCTTAAATCGATATATGGCGAAATCTTCAATACTATAATTGCAATTTATCGTTTTTGACAATTTTTACAGCCAGTCAATAATATAATGTTATTGCGACGTGGTCCTACTGGGCTGAAAGACAAACTTACATTTGACTGGTGCATCATAAATATCGAAGCTATAAAATAACGACGCGACGATCCCAAGAGGCATCACGCGTCCTCATAGAATGGTCGCAAATATATTTTTAACTATAATAAATAGATCTTAGATATATATCAGTACAATTTATGAAATATGATAAGAGTAATAATAAGAATGTACTAACTCACATAACCGTCAAGTATATAATATAAATAACAAGTAAATGGACTTTTTTTTTCATCTATCTTCTCATTCACAGCATTGCGTTGGACTTACGAGCTATGACATAAGTAGCCTAAAGTCAATAGGATAATTAAATAGAATATTTGTAATTAATATGAAAGTAGTTGTACTTTATGTGGGTAGGTGAAGTACGATATAACGAAGAATGTGCAATATATGTGTGGCATGTGTGTGTGTGTGTGTGTGTGTGTGTGTGTGTGTATGTGTGTATAGTATATAATATATATATAATATATATGAAAATGCGATTTTTTGGTCACTTTTGCAGACACTCCAGATTCTTTTATAGAAGCGTTTAGCAATCAAAATGCGTCAAAGAATATCTCTTTCATATTGTTATATAAAACTTGTCATAAGGTATGCACCGTACGGCTCTCGGCACTTTTTATATTGACTAAAAGTCGACATCGCTTTGATGGAAATCTTTGTCACAGATTGTAAGTTGTAGAACGAGACAAGTGCTGGGAACACCGCGTTGATTCTGGAGCGTTTCCAAGAGTGTATCCGTTATTAGTGAATGATTAGCGTCATATTGATAACAGCATCACAGCTACGAAAAAGTCTCGTTTTCCAAGCTCTGCCACGGCTTTTTCGATGGTGCAACCGATCGGTACAAGACGATTGGTCGACTAAGGATTAGCACAGCCTGTTCAGTGCGACGAAAATTGAGCAGAACATTTTGGACAAGAAATGACGATCGATTTAACACTATGTTTCCACGGGCCTTTCACCCCACCTTGAATCTGATAATTTTCTTCGCAAAAATTTACGTGCACAATAAATTTTTATTTAAAATTAAGTATTTCTTCGTTCAGAAAAAGATTACTCGTTTACAGCGACGCGACGAAGAGCCATTTTGATATTTAAATATTAGCTCCGCAAAATTGTTCACCGCGTCACAGGCTTCGCGCGGGCACAATGATTCAAGAAGTCAGTCCATCATTAACGACTAGAGAGATGCAAGAATATATTGTTAAATAATACGAGATCTGCAACTATGTATAATATACTACAATGGAATAAATCTGCTAGCGGTAGAAGAACATAAGACATCGCGGTCACGTAATTTCAAGGATATTGGATAAGATTGGTTTGAGGCAGTAGTCTATAGTCTTTGCCCGAGGCTTGATTATTTCTCGGACCAGCAACTCTCACCTGTCTTGAGGAACTCGCATTGATCGTAATACTTTACTTTGCTGAAAAAAAGAAATACGAGAAGTGAGATTAACGTCGTGCATATTGTTAAATAAATAAGGAGACTATTTGAAGGCGCCTGTATGCATTACCTGGTATTGCGCTTCTGTATCCATAGTACCGGTTACAGCTACAACTTGATACTGTCTGGCCTTCATTGCTGCGGTGGATTTTCGTACGAGCCTCATCGCTCCAGGCGCGCTACTCGTACTATTGAAATGTGCCATTTGCGGTGGACTATGGCTCGGATCCAACACCAACATGGTTATTGAACCGTCCCTTAACTGTTCCACGCCCATGATTGTTCTGCTGTGCCCTAAATTTATTTGAGTATGTTAGTTTGGTTTTTCTGAAAAATATAAAAAAAAACGCTTACCTTGATGTTGAAGATAAAGAGGTGGTTTGAAGTCTTCGCACCTTTGAAAGTATTGCAAGACCCAATTGAACAATTCAGGATGACCGCCGTCTGCGCTGGTAGGTCTATGAAAGTCCACCAGTTGACACCTGTACGAAGTCAGGGAAAAAAAAGTGTGCGTCGTATGACTTGGTGATCAATCGCGTTCATGGAACTTACTTTATCCTCAAACTAGACAGCAGCGTGAATACCTCCGTGGCGCCGATCCACTTCCTAGTGTTAACGAGTTTACCGCCGAGTTGTTCCGCGCCCTGGATGTCAAACCCTTGCGCCCACGCCCACTCGATCATCTTTTGCAATCTTGAGATCGATGGCATGGAGCTACGCAGAGGATTCTCCGTGGAACTGTTGCCACCGGCACCGGAGCTCCACGCTTTGTAAACTAGATCGTTGTATCCTGTGTGCTGCAAGAGAGACGAGATTAGCATCTGCATATTTCTGTAACCGCAACCCCAGCCCTTATCGCCGTAAGTCGATGCGTAATGGTCCACAGTGGAACACATCCAGGTATTCACTACATTACTGCAAGCCTGACTAATGGCTCGTACTTTCGGGACCAGCCCTACAAGAGAATAAATAATGCCAAGTTTCTTGGATAAAATTAGACACTTTTGCGTAAAGAATATTATAAATCGTACGTACCGCGCGTACAAGAACTGCCGTCGTCGATACCGCTACTCTCGGCGACTCTGAGCTCAATTTGTCTTTCGAAAAAATCAGCCACTGTCATTTCACCCGCATACACAGCCCGCTGCATATTAGTGACACTCTGTTCTCTGAAGTTACCCTGATTGTCCATACCGTACTGCGCTCTCAACATCTCGAATTCGCGCTGTTCGCGTAATTTCCTTACTTCCTTTTCTCTCCTCTCCATGTCCTTCGCTAGCATACGATCGGTCGACACGTCTGGCGTCACAGGCGACGGCGTACTCTTCTTGTTGAAGTGCTCTTCGATGTGTGCCATTAGGTCGTCATTATTTTTAAATAATGTACTAAGACATACTGGACAGGCAGGCGTAGAGTCGCTACCGATAGTAGCCGTATCAGATTGTGAACTTGTTCCGTTTGCAGGGCTAACAAAAATAAATCATCGTTAAACAATTATCATAATTGTGCTATAATTAATTTACTATTATCTCTTAAATACATTGCACGTGAATGCGTACCTAAGTATATCTTTGTGCTCGATATTGACATGTAACTCAAGATCAGAAGAATTTGGAAAAGACGTAACGCAAAGGGGGCAGTTGAAGACTCCATCCCGTGATGGCGGTGATTCCGGCGGGAAGGAAGGCGAGGTGAGATCAAAGTGTTGGCGATTGATATGCTCTTCCAATCTTAGTGGACTGTCAGAACTGTAGGGGCACATCGGGCACTCCTGCACTGGAAGTTTTGGGGAAGCGTGTGAGCGTAGTTGTAGATTTAGGCCTGAACGCAGCGGTGAACCTTGACCTGCTGCACCCTCTAACACTAAACAAGAAGAACATGTTAATTTTCATTCACATTCTCAGATCGAATATAAGGCCTGTTTTTTTTAGCTAAACATCTTGCACAGTTTGTTTTTCCTCCTCTTCTGTTCACAGAAAAAAAAAAAGATGAATTATGCAAGTACCAAATAGGCAAGTCTCCAGAGATAGATTTTGAGTAAAGTATGCTAATTTTTTATAGCAAAAGAGGACAACAAATTTCGTATAGAATCTAATATCTAACAATACCGACAAACTACTACCAAAAATGGGAGCAACAAAGCCAAAATTATTCGTGTACGTAGCTCTTTCTCAGTTTTTGCTAACACAGCATATCAATAGATCATCATCACAGATCCTAATGAGCCAACTTAATGAGCACACAAATGGCTATGAATCTGCAGTAGAAATATAATCAAATTTGCTATCAATCTGTCAGCAAATTACTAGTACATTTTGCTATCTAAAACGTTCAATTAAAAAGGACAGACTTATAATCTGAACAATGTCCATTACCAGCATTGGCATTACTGTTGTTATTGTTGTTATTATTGTTCACGTTGGAACTTGCTACTTGGACCGGCTTTCTCAACGATTGCTGTTGTTGCTGTTGCTGCTGCTTGATGCGCTGATTCACAGAGCTACCCCAGCCGTTCTGCAGATGAGGTGGTCGCAGAGACATGGATGGTGAGAGCGCTCGACACTCGTCGCGTCTGTTGTGCTCATCCATTAGCGAGTCATCGTCAATAAACGCCATCATATCATTCTCCGGGGTGCTGTAATATATACAAGTAACAGCGTTAGCCGATCTCTCTCCATTGGAACTACCAATAAAGCGAGTCAAACAATATTCATGCACGAGCGCGCATAGATACGAATGTCATAAGTATTGTTGACTTGTCGGAATACTTCATCCGTATTACAAAGCACGTATTACATTTCGGTCAACAAATTCCTCTCGCATTCCTCGACGCGTCGTCGCTTCCTTGTTTCCCACATGAATAAATCTGGTACAGCTTCACTAACACTTGCACGTTTGTTCTATCAGAGAGAAACCTCTCTGATTCTATCTCGTCGAGATGAGTTTTGCAACTTCTTTAGATTCACCCAAATATGCCTGTATTTTGTTTCATAGACAGTTGTTGACACAATACGCTATTAGCTATACCGTTCGATTCAGTAACATGTAGTAACAGATATTTGAAACCGTTCGGTTTAGTTCGCTCTAATTTTGTCTGATCATATGGCTCGTTGGCGGGAAATTAAATAACAGTTATCGATGGTTTACTGATGGTAATACTGTTACCAGACGGTAAAGTGTCGATATATAGAAATTAAACTTAATCATATCAATAATATAGG